CGCTCGAGCTGTGAGATGCGAGCTCAAATGCGGAGTCGGCCTTGAAAGTGCTCAGCAAAAAAAAAAACACAATTCAATTAGCCAACATTTAACTGCCATGATCAGACACCCAATACCCGTAAAGCGGCTGAAAAATCAATCTCTGTCTCCGGCGCTCCGGTTGCTAGGAGACGGTGTAAGAGCAGGTGCATACAGCTATATGAAGGCTCTTGACTTGAAGATGAGATCATCGTCTTCTGCCTTTTCTCAAAGTTAAACCGCTGTGTGGTGCTGCATTGATGATTTCACGTCAGGATGCAGTTGCCATGTTCTTACAGGAAGCCTAAGGTTAAAAAAACATGGAAAGGTCATAATAATCTGATACGAGGTATACAAAATGACAGGAAAAGCTGATTTAATGCTCATAAACACATACAGTGGGGTTCAGAAGAATTGCATTGAAAATCTGAAATTTAAAAACCTGAAATTTAAATTAAGTTTAAGCATTCAGCAAAAGTAAAAATTCATGTAAAATGAATAAGCAGTCTTTCATTTTCAGTACTGTTACATTTGTCCTGGGTACATTTAACCCTTGTGCTGTGCTGAAAATCCTTTACCTAATTTGGTGTTCCTGGTCAAAAATGACCAGCCTTTGAAAAACAATTGCTTGAATACTTTTCAATTAAACTATATTATCATCAAATCTCGGATTTAATCTTTGGCTGATTTTCTTTCAATCAGCACAGGTTTTGTATTTGCTTTTGGAACTGATAGATCATCGGCCTTATTGATCTGAGCTTATACACCTCAGTTTTTGAATGGAAAAAAAGCATCATTTGTGAATAATTTTGGCAATATTCACTCACCTATATGATCAATCAGTTCCAAAAAGAAATACAAAACCTGTGCTAATTGAAAGACAACAAGATGATAAGGAGATTGAATATTTGGTAATAATATAACATAAGTAATTTGCAAGCAATTCATTTTTTTTGTAGCCTAGACTGTAAAAAATATTTTTCAAGGTCATAAATAAAACAAAGATTATTGGAGTATGTTCTAAGATCAATTTCTGAGTGTAAATAGTTTCTACAGTATTGTTATTCTTCAGTGTAGTAACTTTTGATCACAAGTGTAACAAGATGAGAAAAAAAGTGATAACATTAGCTAGCATTTTTTGGGAAAAAGAAAATCCTCTCCAAGTCAAAATGACCAGAACATGAGGAAAATAGTTTTTGAGGTTTTTGTTGTTGTTTTGGGAATTTAGTGGGCCGGTGCTTGAAGGAAGACTGTCTCAGATCTGTTTGAGCTTTGTCTGAAAGGGTATTTCCTGTGCTTTCTCTCCACCTGAGAATACAAAGTTGTTAAAGCCACAGTCATTGTATCAGATGGTAGCACCATGGTACACAATGAGATATACACACACACCATGGTACTAAAAGATGATGATATTCATATGGTTTATATTGTTCTTCAAGGTATGTAAAAATACCATTGAAAATTGTTAAAAGAATGTTTTCAGTATTGATAATACTAATAAATGTTTCTTGAACATCAAATCAGCATATTAGAACGATTTCTGAAGAATCACACTGAAGAGTAGAGTAATGATGGTGAAAATTCAGCTTTGCATGACAGGAATAAATTATATTTAACAATATATTCAAATAGAAAGAAGCTACTTTAAATGATAATAATAATTTTTACTGTAATAAATTCAGCCTCTCGATCAGAAAATCTAACTGAAAACAGGAAACAACTGGAAATGAGTCTCCCTACAGCTTTCTTTAATAGACTAGCTTGAAAGGTTTTAAAAGACATATATTGTAACAGATGTTAGATAACCACAAGCCCACCCAGTCATCGATGGACTTCCTGTTTATCAGGATGTTGTCTTGGCCACTTCCTGGCAAGGCACCTTGTGAGAATATGTCCTGTTGTATCAAACGTATGAAGCTGAGGTATAATCTTTCAAATAATTTAGAGCTCAGATCTGGAAGGTCTTGTGGAATAAGTGTCAGTTTGAGGAAAAAATATTGGGATGAATTTAAATATAAGCACAAATATGTAAAGTTGTCATACAGTCATGTATTGAATTTGTCAATATAATGCTACATGCACTTTTACAAGTTGTTTGAACTGAAATGTGTGTTGGCAGTGTGTGTACACAACCACCCTAAAATGATTAAAATCAACCCAGTGGTTTTTTGTTAATCTACTAAAATCTTTACTCCTTTCTCAAATCCATTGAGACCCTAAAGAATCATATCAACCTGTGGAAAATGGGCATCATATGGCCCCTTTAAATGCTGTTTGTTCACAGCCTCTTTATCTCATTGGCTAATAACTAGCTCATATCGTTCTGGATATCACTGCATCTGCTATTCTATTTAAGCAGTAGTGGTCAAGCCAGCACCGGAAAACAATCATTCTGCATCACAGGTGCATCCGTGCAGACAGCAGTGCTGAAGGGCCCAAACCAAAGCAACCACTGCAGTTGACTTCATTAACACGCAAAGACTGCAGACAGGAGAGCATAATGCTATTTAATGAAGTGCCCAGCATGCATTTAGATGTTTAAGAGCCATTCTGGAGGTCAACGTTAAGAATGTCAATTAGTTAAACTGATATGTTGAACTTTACAGTGGACACTAAAATATCATCATTACATTTGCAAACTACTTTTGCATCCATTTATTGTGTCATGCTTATTTTGCATAGTTTAATTGCATTGTAAAGTACTGCAAAATAAATTAACTTTTATTTGAATCAAATCAAATCAAACCAGTCGTGCTGAGTTACACAGCAATTCATTATAAGTATTGGGTAAAGTTAGATCCATTTTGAGAATATTGAGAACAACAAACGGTGCTGTTGGTTAACTATGATCTATTCTACCACACTCTTCACACTTCACCTTGACCAGAAGACAGAAGAGAAAGAGGGGGGAGATCGCATGAGATGAACATTTGGGCACACTGACACTGACACTGAGGAAGTAATGATTGTGTGTTTTAATGTGAGCGTGTGTGACAGCACTTATGTTAGTTGGATTTGTGATTAAACGCTTCGAAATGAAGCTCTCCTGCCCTTTGATCTGTGTGCTCATTTTGTCCTGCATTTGCTTCAGAGGTAAGAGCCACATCGAGTCTAAACACCTACTCAAAATACTAGTTATTTTAATAATTATGTGTCTCTTTTTTATTATCTTGGGCTCAAAGTGTCTTTTGTTTAGGTAGTGTTTATTTGTTATGTTACCATAATGGCATTTTGTCTTTGTTATCACATGTTTATTAGCCATAATTCATGCAAAGTCAAATTTTGTAATAAACTTTATTACATACTGCCTTCTGTTTTATCATTTACTTTTGGTAACACTTTACAATAAGGTTCTTTAGTTAACATTAGTTCAGTTAACACGAACTGAGAATGAACAATACTTCTACAGTATTTATTAATCTTAGCTAATGTTAATTCCAACATTTACTAATGCAGTATTAAAATCAAAAACTGTGCTTGTTAACATTAGTTCAGTTAACACGAACTGAGAATGAACAATACTTCTACAGTATTTATTAATCTTAGCTAATGTTAATTCCAACATTTACTAATGCAGTATTAAAATCAAAAACTGTGCTTGTTAACATTAGTTAATGCACTGTGAATTAGCATGAACTAACAATGAATTACTATATTTTCATTAACTAACATTAACAAAGATGAATAAATACTGAAATGAATGTATTGCACATTGCTTGTTCATGTTAGTTAATACATTAACTCACATTAACTAGGCTAATGGAACCTTATTGTAAAGTGTTACCATATTAATTTTTTTTAATTGCAGATCATATCAGAGGTTAAAGTATGTTATATGTTAACATTACATCAGTGATATCAACTTATGTGAAGTGTTTTTATATATTTTTTTAAGTGTAGTTAGGTTGTGTTGGCTTTGAATGTATTTAAATGAATTGTGTTCACATTTGGACTGCCTGTCCAAAAAAAAAAGTCGCACTCTCTAGTATTTCACTGGATCCCCTTTAGCTTTGATAACACTGTGCATTAGTCAGCAACCTTATGCAACACCACAGCATTTATTTCCATCAAGAGTTGAGATCTGTTTTTGACAACGGGAGAGTCGAACCACTCAGAAAAGTCGACTCTAGCACGTCCTAAAGACTTTCAATAGGGTTAAGCTCAGGACTCTGTGGTGGCCAATTCATACATGAAAATGATTCCTCGTGCTCACTGAACCACTATTTCACAATTTGAGCCCGATGAATCTTAGAATTTTCGCACTGAATCGGTCATGGTTATAAGAATTTGCAAACACATAACATGCCAGAAACATATTAATCACTGCAATAATGATCCAAGCCTAGACTCTAAAGTATTTTCTCAATTAAATCCAAACATTGACTTGTTTTTTGGCCAGGCAGTGTATGTTATATACTGCTAGTATGAGGAAGATGTTGATATTTTTGTTTTACAATTTACAGTAGCTGTTAAAAAAAAAAAAAAAACTAGGGCTAATTTATGGAACATAATTACATTATATGCTTCAATCACACCTCTAGTTCACTTTTCATCCAATACTAAGACGAACTATATTGTACTGTATGCTTCTGTAGATGTTCCTACAGCACAAAATGTTTCTATATATCAGATGTACAGTATATAGTCCGAAATATTGATCAGACATATAAAAATCTCCTCATTTGTATAAATGTGGATACATGTGTACTTAATGAATAAAAGCAAATGTGAATGGTTTCTTGATCAATTCTTTCATAGGTTCCAGTCAGTATCTCTCTGTGTTTCAGAGGGTTAATGGAAATGTCTGTAAAATTGCTGAATAATGTCCAGGCAAAAAATTACCAGTACCAGTACTTATTTATTTTTCAATTTTTGTTTTGTTTTAAATACTAACAGTTTGAGTAACAGAAAAGTCCTCAAAGCCACAAGATAATACAACAAAACGTTCATGTGTTTTGTGTGTGTTTATGCTTTTCTCACAGTTTCAAGTCAGAATCTGTCTGTGATTCAGAGTCCATCCAGCATCACTGTGAATGAAGGAGAATCTACTCACATCAGCTGCTGCTGGAATGAAATCACACAGAAAGTTAAAGTTGCTTGGTACATCAATGAGAAAAAACACACCAGAGTAAAGCAGGATTTCCAAGAGCATAAAACACAGAACTGTTCAATTCTGAATCTCACAAACATACTTAAAACCGCTTCAGGTCATTATGTTTGTGAAGTGACTCAAGACATACCAATCCTGCTTGAGAAGAATGGTAGTGGAACAGTCATATCTGTCAATGACAATCTAGTAGAAATGACAACTGGTAAGTTATTAAAAGGCTAAAAGACCACCATTATTTATTCAGATCACCTGCTACTGGAATAAAAGCAGTCTGGAAGTATTGTCCTGCAAAGAATGTCAGCACAAAAGCACCTTTTATTCTAAAAATCCCAAATAACAAAACAATGTCGGTGATTATGTTTGTAAAGTGATTCAGTATTTCCTGCTTGAATATAAGGAAATCAAAATATCACTGTATGTTCATTCATTCAACAACTGAGATTGTATCACACAAATTCCAATCTACTAAAAATCTGTTGGAAGACATGCGACATAATGTAATTTAAGCAATGTCAGATTTAAGGACTGTTGCATAAAGAGACAATCCAATTTATCTGCTGTTTTACAGTCAGAGTTCACACACTTTTCAACCCAGCAGCTGGTGAGTACTTATAACATGTTACTGAAAAACATATTGTTCTGCAGTTAGTCCATGTTGTCTGGATGTCAGGGATCAGGGATCATGTGGGTGGTTTGGGTTTCTCAATGGTTTCTTGCCACTCTCTGTTGTCTGTGTCTAATAAAAGTGTATAATATGTTAATCATATTTTAAATGTATAATAGTTTCCTAAATTAACAGGCTATTTGTAAAATGTCAGAATTAATTATCGTCAATAATATTTCTCATTAAAGTAAAGCCAGATGTACTTGATAATCCGAAGAGAAATCCAAAAGATGAGAACTATAATTATTTGGATCCTAAAGGTAAGATGTTATACGAATATTGATGCTTTTTTTAAATCTTGGATGTAAAAGTTCAACATACAGTAATTTGATTCTGTAAATATTAAACTAAAGGAACTGGTTTTCATTTGTACACTCTAGGTCCAAATGAAAGGGACCTTTTCAAAATGTACAACTTTGTACCTTATTTACCTCTAAAGGTTGAATATTGTTACCTTAAAGGTACATATTAATAGTTTTTGAAAAGGAACCGCGCCAGTGACAGCTTTTGTACCTTTTTTTCCCTGATAGTGTAGAAACATAATGATTAACCCAGAAATTATTATTTTTTAAATTTATTTAATATTTTAATGAAATTAATTAGTGTTTTTTGCCTTACTATGGGTGGCCACGCACTTGAAGATTTTAAGGCCGATTTTAAGGCCGATTTTCATACCCAAACAATGGTGGCATGTCCCGATTCGAGGCTTGTCGCAAACGATTTTTTGTCCAAAAAAATCCTGTATTGTGTGGTGTCATTACGATTATTTAATTGCTTACTTGATCGGGCTCCTCTGACATGATACCCGCGATAGCCAATAAGAGTGAGCAAGCGTCACCATAACAGATGTTGTGTGCTTCTATAGCTGAAACTTGGCAACCACAAACATGCCACGAAAGTACAGTATACTGAGAAAGAATATCACCCATATTCTTTTTTCCCCTATTTTTTTTTCTATTTGTCCTCCAAGTGTTTTACTTCTCTAGTCATGGTCAATCTTACAAGTCTCCATAGTGTGCGCGTTTAAAGGATTATTACACTAAAATTGGTTGAAACTGTCTTCATGTTTGTGGTCTCCCATGGTTATCAATTCAGTTAAAGGTGACCTATTATGCACCTTTTTACAATATGTAATATAAGTCTCTGGTGTCCCCAGAATGTGTCTGTGAAGTTTCAGCTCAAAATACTCCACAGATAATTTATTATATAATTTTTAAAATGCCTATTTTGAGTGGAAGCGGAAACGCGCTGTTTTTCGGGCCTGTCTCTTTAAATGCAAATGAGCTGCTGCTCCCCGCCCCCTTTTTCAGAATAGAGCTGTGCCTTTACAGCTGGTATCTGCTAAAAAACATCTTTTTTGGTTCTGATTATCATGTTTATCGCACTGAAATCATGCGTTTGAAACCATATGAGTTTAAACTTCTGATATACGGTTTTCTGAGCGCACACATCTGAAGCACACGGACAGAAAGCGGCTGTCACAGCATGCGAGTACTAAACTAAGTTCTCATTCACACACAAGTTAAGTTAAAACACAAATGAGTTATAAAAACAGTCAGTTATGTCTGTGAAGGTAAACAGCTGGGAAATAAATCGTTTGTTTATTTTAGATCTGTGTGGCAGCAGCAGCAATATACAGTAAATAAATCAATAAATGCACTGCTCTCTCGTCTCCTCTGAGGCTGGGACTCTAAACAGTGTTCTGTGCTCGTCTGTGCAGCCAAAGGCAGAACAGTTAGCATGTTTTGCTCAAACGTTCGCCATGGCATTAGAGCTGGTACACCATTGTGGCTTGTGAAATCAAAATAACGGCGCCGTGGGTGGAAATTGACTGATTAAGGGGAGGTAACATTATAATGAGATCCCTTTGCCACGTCACCAAGGGAGCCAAATCAGACTCGCTCGTTTTCTCAGACGCTTGCAGAAAAAGGCTTCCCAAAACAAAGTTATTGGGTTAATCATTTTCACGTTTCCTTGGTTAGCAGATGCACCGGGGACCTGATTATAGCACTTAAAACCTGGGAAAGTCAGATTTTCATGATATGTCACCTTTAAGATTTGAAAATCGTCTAGTGTATCCTAGGGCTAAGTTAGGTTTTCCCCTTTTGTAGTTTTGTAGAATTCCTTTAAATTCTCACTAAAAAGTACGATGTGCCCCAAACAAACTACAACGACCCTTTAGGTTTTTGTAAAAGATCTTAAAAAGCTCAATTGTTTTTCACAGGTAGTTTGCGGGAGGTTGTGATCATATATATTTTCAGAAGTCTGCCCTTCATCTGTCTGCTGGTGGTGTTCTTTTACCTAAACAGGGACAAAAAACAAGTCACAGCATCAAGACCAGGTTACTGTTCAACATATCCAACACAAACTTCACAACATAGTTTAGCTGTTTGTTTAGCCTTTAACCAAACAAACCAGCTCTGTGATAAAGAATTTGATTCAAACTTACATAATTTGATCTGAAACAAAAATATAACTGATAAACTGATAAAACTGAATGCTTAACACCTTTCACAAGACCAGTATCACATGTATCCTAAAAAGATAGAATCGCAGAATTCCAGAATTCCAGACTACAATGATTGAAAAAAAATCCAAGATGATGCAAGATTAATGCACAAAAGATGATTTAATTAATGCAAAAACTATCAATAAAGATAGTCACTATTTTACAACCTCTGAGTTCTTATCTTGAAAGGTTTACAGTCAATTATAAATACATTTAATTACAGAGATCTTTAGTAGGATTTTTTTTTTCTAAACACTTGACAGAATATTCAGATTTTTTAAATCGCAGCAGTGGTGTATGAATTTGGTCAGTGTCTAACAACATATCAGACAGTTTGTTTTCATGCATGAGCACCTGTTGACTATTTTTGTCTCTTTGTTATGACAAAGTGTGGTAAGCAAAGTTAAATAATGGGTTTGTACCACAGTTAAGAATAGTTCACCCAAAAATGAAAAATTTGCTGAAAATGTGCTCATCCTCAGGCCATCAAAGATGTGTTTCTTCATCAGAACAGATTTGGAGAAATTTAGCATTGCATTAAATGGGTGCCGTCTGTGAAGGTAAACAGCTGGGAAATAAATCGTTTGTTTATTTTAGATCTGTGTGGCAGCAGCAGCAATATACAGTAAATAAATCAATAAATGCACTGCTCTCTCGTCTCCTCTGAGGCTGGGACTCTAAACAGTGTTCTGTGCTCGTCTGTGCAGCCAAAGGCAGAACAGTTAGCATGTTTTGCTCAAACGTTCGCCATGGCATTAGAGCTGGTACACCATTGTGGCTTGTGAAATCAAAATAACGGCGCCGTGGGTGGAAATTGACTGATTAAGGGGAGGTAACATTATAATGAGATCCCTTTGCCACGTCACCAAGGGAGCCAAATCAGACTCGCTCGTTTTCTCAGACGCTTGCAGAAAAAGGCTTCCCAAAACAAAGTTATTGGGTTAATCATTTTCACGTTTCCTTGGTTAGCAGATGCACCGGGGACCTGATTATAGCACTTAAAACCTGGGAAAGTCAGATTTTCATGATATGTCACCTTTAAGATTTGAAAATCGTCTAGTGTATCCTAGGGCTAAGTTAGGTTTTCCCCTTTTGTAGTTTTGTAGAATTCCTTTAAATTCTCACTAAAAAGTAGGATGTGCCCCAAACAAACTACAACGACCCTTTAGGTTTTTGTAAAAGATCTTAAAAAGCTCAATTGTTTTTCACAGGTAGTTTGCGGGAGGTTGTGATCATATATATTTTCAGAAGTCTGCCCTTCATCTGTCTGCTGGTGGTGTTCTTTTACCTAAACAGGGACAAAAAACAAGTCACAGCATCAAGACCAGGTTACTGTTCAACATATCCAACACAAACTTCACAACATAGTTTAGCTGTTTGTTTAGCCTTTAACCAAACAAACCAGCTCTGTGATAAAGAATTTGATTCAAACTTACATAATTTGATCTGAAACAAAAATATAACTGATAAAGATACAAGACTGAATGCTTAACACCTTTCACAAGACCAGTATCACATGTATCCTAAAAAGATAGAATCGCAGAATTCCAGAATGCATTGCTACAATGATTGAAAAAAAATCCAAGATGATGCAAGATTAATGCACAAAAGATGATTTAATTAATGCAAAAACTATCAATAAAGATAGTCACTATTTTACAACCTCTGAGTTCTTATCTTGAAAGGTTTACAGTCAATTATAAATACATTTAATTACAGAGATCTTTAGTAGGATTTTTTTTTTCTAAACACTTGACAGAATATTCAGATTTTTTAAATCGCAGCAGTGGTGTATGAATTTGGTCAGTGTCTAACAACATATCAGACAGTTTGTTTTCATGCATGAGCACCTGTTGACTATTTTTGTCTCTTTGTTATGACAAAGTGTGGTAAGCAAAGTTAAATAATGGGTTTGTACCACAGTTAAGAATAGTTCACCCAAAAATGAAAAATTTGCTGAAAATGTGCTCATCCTCAGGCCATCAAAGATGTGTTTCTTCATCAGAACAGATTTGGAGAAATTTAGCATTGCATTAAATGGGTGCCGTCTGAATGAGAGTCTAAACAGCTGATAAAAACACCGCAATAATCCACAAGTAATCCACATGACTCCAGACCAACAATTAATGTCTTGTAAAGTGAAAAGCTGCGTGTTTGTAAGAAATAAATCTAGTATTAAGGCACTTGAGCTTTAAACTGTTGCTTCTGGCCAAAATACAAGTCCATAATCCATAATAATGCTTCCTCCAGTGAAAAAGTCCATCACCTGTTGTCTTCTCACATCAAAATCCACCGATACATGTGCTTATAACTGTTTTGGACTGTTTTCACTTGTAAACGATGCTTGATCTGTGCAGACTTTTTCACTGGAGAAATCATTATTATGGATAGAGGACTTTATGGATATAAGTAAAAATGTCTTAAAGGGGGCACAAGTCCCCATGAGGAAACATAAACATTAAAGGGGTCATATGATGCGATTTCAAGTTTTCCTTTCTCTTTGGAGTGTTACAAGCTGATTGTGCATAGATAAGATCCCTGAAGTTGCAAAGACTAAAGTCTCAAATATGACCTACAATAATGTACAGATTTGAAAAATAATGTGTTTTTTGAACATTAAAGCATGTCAACATATTCTGTTACACCAAATACACTAAATAATGATCTTTAAAATAGCATCATATGACCCCTTTAATGATAGATTTATTTGTTACAAACATGAAGCTTTTCACTTCACAAGTCATTAATTGATGGACTGGAGTGTTGTGGATTATTTGTGGATTATTGTGATGTTTTTATCAGCTGTTTGGACTCTCATTCTGATGGCACCCATTCACTGCAGAGCATCCACTGGTGAGCAATCACTACATCTTGGATTGCCCAAGGGTGAGTAAATTTTCAGCAGATTTTCTTTTTTTGGCAAACTGTTCCTTTAAAGTAAAAGTTAAAGGCACAATACTATGTAATTTTTGCCACTAGAGGGCGCGTATTCAAAATAAACAAATAGACAAAGGCGTAGTTAGATGACGCCGTGACTGAGCGTGGAATCATGGGAGTTGTCGTCTTCATCCTCACAGCCAATGCAATCCGACGGGACTCGGGCAGAAATCATGTTCATGCATGAGCTAATGATTTATTAAGGTAGTAGAATGAAGCAGGGTGAGGCTGAAAGCCGTCGAAGCGAAACAAGGCCGCTGAACGAGCGCGACGCACGAGCTCGAGCTCGAAAGCAGCGGAGCTTTTATTATGCCACAGTTGACCGCTTCCGCTCCTTCCGGTCTTGCGTACGCATGTGGGGGAAAAAAGCAGCGCTGTCTTATCATACTAGATACATTTGAAAGTTTTGTTATTATGATACTCTGTGCAGTCGTCATCAGTCTAATAAAACGCACAACATATTAAAGCGTCTTTGGTGTTTCCATGTTTTCTACAAAACAAAACCGGAAATCGAGGGTGTATGACGTCATTGGCAGGCGACACAATGACACTATGGACACGGTCCGTGTCACTAGTTAAAATTGAGTTTAAGTATTTGCTATTGACTGTTCAAATGCGGAGTTTTGCGCATCGTGTGTGTGTGTGTGTGTGTGTGTGTGTGTGTGTGCGCGCGTGTGTGTGTGCGTGAGAGAGAGACAGGGTCACATCACAGTGGAGTCAGCTGTCTTAACCGTGGCTTGTGTACTGCAAACACATACAGCTTCATCACTGTGTCTGTCACGCGACTCTGTTCCCCTTTCGGGCTTGAACTGATGGTAAAACTAATGACATTATTTACTGTCTTTACATTTATTTTGAAAGATGAAGCTCGCGATTATGGTAAGGGGCGTTACATTTCTGACAAGTGCTTGCGGTGTTCGGCCAATCACAATGCACTGGGTCAGCTGGCCAATCAGAGCAGACTGTGCTTGTCGGAAGGAGGGACTTTGTAGAAAACGAAGCGTTTGAGAGAGGCGGGGGCATATATGACCTACAATAATGTACAGATTTGAAAAATAATGTGTTTTTTGAACATTAAAGCATGTCAACATATTCTGTTACACCAAATACACTAAATAATGATCTTTAAAATAGCATCATATGACCCCTTTAATGATAGATTTATTTGTTACAAACATGAAGCTTTTCACTTCACAAGTCATTAATTGATGGACTGGAGTGTTGTGGATTATTTGTGGATTATTGTGATGTTTTTATCAGCTGTTTGGACTCTCATTCTGATGGCACCCATTCACTGCAGAGCATCCACTGGTGAGCAATCACTACATCTTGGATTGCCCAAGGGTGAGTACATTTTCAGCAAATTTTCTTTTTTTGGCAAACTGTTCCTTTAAAGTAAAAGTTAAAGGCACAATACTATGTAATTTTTGCCACTAGAGGGCGCGTATTCAAAATAAACAAATAGACAAAGGCGTAGTTAGATGACGCCGTGACTGAGCGTGGAATCATGGGAGTTGTCGTCTTCATCCTCACAGCCAATGCAATCCGACGGGACTCGGGCACTATTATTATGCCACAGTCGACCTCTTCCGCTCCTTCCGGTTGTGCGTATGTGGGGGGGAAAAGCAGCGCTGTTTTATCATACTACATACATTTGAAAGTTCTGTTATAATGCTACTCTGTGCGGTCGTCACCGGTCTATTAAAAACCACAACATAATACAGCGTCTTTGGTGTTTCCATTACAAAACAAAACTGGAAAAATCGAGGGTGTATGACGTCTTTGGCAGGCGACACAATGACACTATGGACACGGTCCGTGTCACTAGTTAAAATTGCTTATTTCTCTGGATTTAAACATTCTTCGAAACATTTGGCATAATGTAAGTACACAAGTCAGCAAAATATATAACACTGTTCTAGTGGTTTTTGGATATTTTAATAAAAAAATCTTACATATTGTGCCTTTAATACCCTTAGATGTTAGTGAGATCTTGCTGATTTCTTTCTTTCTTTTCAATCTAAAGCAGTTGAGCATGCTGTAGAGTCAGAAAGACCGGATGAAGACCTGGAGGCCGGAGAGACACAGAGGAGTGAAACTGAAGAGGCGAAACAGGGTGAGAATGTTTCTGAACAGGAGAAAAAGAGGGTCAGTAACGAGAAACCTGAAGTTACTGCTACAACAGAAGAAGAAGAAGATGAAGAAAAACAGATTGATGTAGTTGTAGACACTGAACAAGGTACATCTCCAATGCATGACAATGAAAAAAACAAGACTGAATCTGTTCTGAACACTGACGAAAAGACACATCTAATGACTGATGCTGAAGAAGTGACTGTTTCTGTGCTGGGCGGCTTTGTTTCAGCTCTGTGAGACACACAGGAAATGGAGTCATGGGTGTGTTGTTCAGGTCTATGATGCCACTTCCTGCATGATTGCTTGTTTGCAGACACATACTGATTTGAAATGATTTATACTGAATTCTGAAAGTAGATGAAATATAATATGTCTTATATGTCTTGTGTATTGTGCATGCATGAATCTTTCTGTTTGATTGTGTGTATTGTGGGATTGTGTATATGGTTGTGTTCAGCGTGTCTTGGGTGAATCGAATGTGAGATCAGTGTTGTGGTTTACTGTGGGCTTCGTTGTGATAAAATTAGTTACGTGGGGAGGGGGTGAAATTCTGAGAGTACGAGTGTCTCATGCGTGTGAAAGGTTGTGATGTGGGAGTAAAGAAGAGTTCAGATTCTCAGCAGATGCTCAGAAATGAAGTGTTCCTCCAGACTCCTGTGTGGGCTCCTCATGTCATGCCTTTGTTTCAGAGGTAAGTGCCACTCGAAACTCCTTCCCCAATGGAAAACCAGCACAGATGCTCCAGGATACTGTTCTGTATAGTACAAAATCAAATAAATCAACTGTCTGTAGAGCTGTGAGAGGATGCTGCCTTTCTGTATTCATCAGGAGACAGTTTTGTAGCATTTCGGACTATTTTAATAAACACTTGTGAAGAGTTGTCTAGTTGTATAATTAGAGTATATGGTAATTTTTTCTGCCATGTTGTTGATCGCTTAGAAAACAAATTCTTCTTCATTATTCCTTTGTTGTTGATATTGATATGTTTTATAAGGTAGAGCTGTACAATAAATTAAAAGGTACTACTACTAAGGAAGGTGGAAGATTTGCACATATAAATTGCTGTAAAACATTTTTTAAAACGAGCTAAGTCACTCAGTAACATTTGTAGGCATGAACACAACATACTGTGAACAACAAGCGGTCCAATTTGAGTTGATTAGACCGATGTGATCTGTAAGCGCGTTTATATATATATATACAGTATATATACAGTAAAAGAGAGAGACTTTGTGGTCTTTATCTGTTTTTCACAATTATCACCCATTATTTTTGTCAATGTTCTTTTCTTTTTTCCCACCTTGATGTGGTTTTATTTCAAATTCTCACCAGTGGTTTTGCACCATCTTTGATTTTTTATTTAAATTTTTTAAAGAGATGTTTCCTTCCTTATAGTGGGTCTTAACTAACGTCACAAAATAAACATTATACAATTCTCAATAACAGATATGATTGAATCTTTGATTTTTTGATGAATTAAAAAATAAATTATAATTTTTACATATGATATTTATGTATTTCTTGTTTATTCCACAAGGTTAAATGCACTGTTAATAAGAAAGAAATCCTTAAAAATAGGGCACGATATAATAAAGGAATTTTCCATATTTCTTTTTTACAGGTGCATGTTTTACCTGTATTTTAAATTTTGCACTTCATTGCGTTATGTTTTAGGGTTAACGGAAATGTCTGAAAAATTGCCTGTACCAGTATTTTTTTATTTTAATTTTTTACATTTTTGTTTTGTTTTAAATACTAACAGTTTGAGTAACAGAAAAGTCCTCAAAGCCACAAGATAATACAACAAAACGTTCATGTGTTTTGTGTGTGTTTATGCTTTTCTCACAGTTTCAAGTCAGAATCTGTCTGTGATTCAGAGTCCATCCAGCATCACTGTGAATGAAGGAGAATCTACTCACATCAGCTGCTGCTGGAATGAAATCACACAGAAAGTTAAAGTTGCTTGGTACATCAATGAGAAAAAACAAAAGCAGGATTTCCAAGAGCATAAAACACAGAACTGTTCAATTCTGAATCTCACAAACATACTTAAAACCGCTTCAGGTCATTATGTTTGTGAAGTGACTCAAGACATACCAATCCTGCTTCAGAAGAATGGTAGTGGAACAGTCATATCTATCAATGACAGAGATAACAAAACAGTGACTGGTAAGATTCTTCCTTCACAATATAATTTTTACTACAAATCCCAATACAATAATAAAAAAAAATGAAAATACCACCATTATTAAAATCATACAATATAATTTCAGTTCAACTAATTCAGTCTATTTCTTCTATTGAAGTTTATGACCCGCCTCAAACTTCCCAGACTGCACACAGTTCACCAGCACCAGACACTTCACCTCCCTTTCTGCCTTTGTCTCTGGTTGCTGCCATCAGCCTGCTGACCCTCTGCTTGGCCTTCAGTGTGTGCAAGATGAGGAACTCCTGTAGAAAATCAGGTACACTTCAATACTGAGACTCATTACTGGTGTGTTTGTGCCGCCACATTGTTTTCATCATCTGTGGTATTGCTGTACTGTACTTATGTTTTCCTGCAAAGCTTAGACTCATTAAAAGTTCATTACGAATTATAAGGCTTTTTACACCAATTATACCCAGTTCAATACTGTAATCACAGCCAATGTGTCTATTTATTATTCATTCACGGATTGTACGAATTGGACATTTTCTTCAGCTGACTAAACAACAGCACCACTCAAAAAAAAAAAAAAAAAAGTACACTGACTAACAGTACAGTGAATGATGCAAGTGCATGTAATATGAAAAATAATGTAGCCTATGTCACAAAGTTGCTGTGTGAGCAGGTCTTTTATGTCAAAACTTGTCAGATTTTGTAGCGGTGTGGCCCCCCGCACAGGAAGTGCAACCGTTAAGCTTATTCAAACACACATTTACCGTTACTTTTTAAAAGTAACAGTTATTTTTCTAAAAAAAATTTTTTTTTTAAATTAATTACTATTACTATTAATAGTAGTTACTATTAATTACAAAAATTCCAAAACATTACTTTTAAAAATAATTTCATTTTTATATTATATAAAATTATATTTTCAAATATTTGTATATATGTGTATTAAGATATACATTTTATTTGACTTAAATAATATTTTGTTTTTGCAGACATGCATTACTAAAACCGGTCTCAAATGATGGGCTGCAATTAGTACATTCTGAATGGATCACAAACAGCAAGAAAATCAATGTTTTTCTCTGCAATTAATAAATAATCAAACTCTGGTATTTTAGCATACATTTTGTCATTCGGTATTATGGTTAATATTAATACAATACAAGACCAGTGTTTGGTTGGTAAAACACTTCAGCTGTTTATGCATTTACAAAATGGCCAGTTTTCCCTATTCTGACAATGTCGTATTAAACATTTTCATCTTGTTGGCCTGTGCATTCTGTATTAATATTAATATTAATTTTCAAATTAATATATTATACTATTTACATATATAATTTTACATAATATATTTCTACAATATCTCATGTCAAATCTGGTTTCTGAAGCAGAGCCATTGCTTGAGCTACTTGCGTTACTATTTCAGTTGGCTGAGGCTCTCTCACACACTCTTGCAGGTGTTTTTTTTTCTCATTTGTGGTAAAGTGGGATTTTTTTGTTTGTTTTTTTGCTGTAGTTTTTTGTCGTCTGGACATAGTTTGCATGCAATGACTTTAACACCTCTGTATATAAGCAATGCTACTTATAACATAGACAGCTTTGTTGGCTTATAATGGGAACAGTATATTTTTGTTGTGTCACAATGCCCGCTTGCAGTGTAGACATGGTGTCATGAACACTGCATAGACTTATGTGGCTTGTTGGGCAGGGCGAATTGTTTGGTTCTATGTGTCAGTAAATAAATAAACAATAGAAAGTGCATTGCTTTTTTTGGGAAAGGTTTGAGAGGCATACCTGTTACTTCTAATTAAAAAATGCAATCAGTCATGGAGATGAGAGCAGTCTGGTATTCATTTGACCTGCACAAACATAGATTTACTAGATCAAAAATTCTATAATAACATAAAGCTGGTTTGAAAGGTTATGTATGGTTTTGAATTGTCATCATAGATATTTGGATGTAGCCATAAATCTCAATGTCTGTATCTTACCTCAGAGCGAGTGGTCATTCACCAGACGCCTAGCAGTGAGGGTGAGGAGCATGAGCACATGGAAGAGGAGGACGGTAGCACAGGCTCCTCTCGAGGATCCCTCCAATGGGTAAGTCAGATCCAACCTCATGAGAAGTCGAAATAATTGGTACAAGATAGCAAAATGATATGCGTTGAGTCATGCAAAAACATACAACTCTAACCTAAGTCTATCTATAAAGCCTAACCATGTTTGTTACAGAAAACAACTATTTGTTGAACTAAGTTGTTTTCATGAGTGTGTTGGTGAGACACGCTTTCATGAGTGTGTTGGTTGGTTTCTAAACACACCCATGGCGCCAAATGTTGGTGTTTGGCTCTGTTTGAAAGAGAATACTAGCGTACTGCATGCTGCAAATTATGTCTTGTGTATTATTTTGTAAAAACTCAAACATGACCTTGTGATGTTACATGTACAGTCAAGTTCTTTTTATTTCAGTATCGTTTTCACAGTGGACATTGTTCCAAAGCAGCATTACAGAAAAATAATGTCTTAAATTGACTAATTTCTTAGTTAAATGATTTGTGTGCAGTTATCATCTTGGAAATACATAGGGTTATTTTGCATTTTTATTGTAAAAAAACAAACAAACAAACAAAAAAACGTTTAGCTGTTAATTTGTCACACTGGACTGAAGTGCATTGCATTGTGTAGCCCACACAGTCCCAGTCGGCACGTGGCTGACCTTTAATGTTGAAATAGTTGCAATAATGTCAGTTGTAGTTTCAACATTGAAATAACATTTAATGCTAAATGGTTATAAAAATGTTAAGTCAGGCTGAAATTCATTCTGTCGAAAAGGTGTTGAAACAATGTCGCAAATCAACGTAAATTCAACAATCGAAAAGTGATTCAACCTTGATTCATAAAATTGGTTCACCTGTGGATAAAAACTGAAAAGACGTCTGGGAGTGTGTTCTGTATTGTTGTAACATTTTAAGAAATGTAGAAGGTCATTTGAGTTATTCATACATATGCATAAAAATTTTTGCATAATGCAAATTCCAAAACAGACTCTTTATGAAGGACCCTTGACCCAAATCAACAATAATGCATTGTAATACAGGGCACAATA